TGCATTAACATGCATTGTTTGTACATAAACTCGTTTTACAAAATGGATTATCAAATCACCACCCTTGACAATTTTAATTAATAACCGAATCTGTCGATCAAACGGTCGTTGCGCCGTGTATTATTGCTGCGCTCTGACACAATGAAAGGGATATTAATGGCGAATGACCGCAAACAATAGCTGGGATCCGATGAATTTAAAATCGGTCGAGCGTTCCGACAATCGATGGTGGGCTCGGTAAAAGAGGCATATCTACATGGGGATCAAAGTGATTGATGCAGTATTCGATGATCCACCGCACGTTAGTTGATCTCATTTGCGCCGTTCTCAGGTCACCTCGTGGCTATCGATCTTTGGTTTCCCTGAATATTGGCCGCGTCGATGGTCTACCTGCGGCTTGATTTATTGGCAAACCACCGCTGAGTCCATCCCCCGTGTTCAGATCACGATGGACCGGCTACGAATTTGTCCTGGAAGGATTCTATACCCGTGTATCCCCAGCCCGGATTCATCCCCGTAACAAGCTGAACTCCCGACAGAAACTGCTTCCACGTTAAAACAGATCCACTCGCTCATAATAGTAACTCGATCCATCATTGTCAAACCTGAAAATTTTCTGATGCTCATTACTCGTCATCAGATAATGAATCTTCATCTAGATTAAATTCTATCTAGACCAAATTCTGAATTCGTTTTTTTTAATATTTCGACGTCACTAACATCCCAATTTACACGTGTAAAAATTATTGATTTTTAATGGGAATTATCGTATTCGCAAAGACACGCGGTTTGAACGTTCAGGACGCTTCTGAAGTTCGTAAACAGGGTCGGTTAACCGCCAGCGTTCCGGAATTTGTATCCGACATCTCTGATCCTCCACGAGAAGCCTATCCAAGGAACTTTCCTCTAGGACTCTAGGATTTCGAAAGTTCGTAACGACTGTAGTTCGTCCCCCCCTTCCCCCGACCACGTGCGAATGCCTGCAGCTTCGGAACTGTTCACACACTCAACGAAAAGCTTTATTCGCGAGCTCGAGAAATTCGCGAGATTTATTTATCCAGGAAAACTTTGCGAAAATCAAAAAATTCTTCGAATCAACTCCAGGAAGTACGAAGAAGTTCTGGTAATTTATTTACCCAGAGAAACTTTTCAAAAATTAAAATTATTCCAACGAATCCTAACAGGATTTTCATTAAATAATAATAATAGGGCTTTGAGATTGCGACCGGCAGAACTGTTTCGTTGGAACGATAATAATCTCCTAGACAATTTTGTGTATTACGGCATAACTCGAATTAAGGAGAATTGTATGCTGGGGAGTTACGGAGCATGAGAAGGATTAGGGTCGGACCATTTTCGTCACACCGAGCAGCGTTTACAGCAGAAGGATCTCTCGTCCTAATCCACCGAGTTACACGAGTCGCTCGATTCTCAGCCTGGTTCGGTGCGGGCGAGCTTTCTATGTACGATAAACCATCCCCTAATGATCAACGCGGCCGACATCGATGACAAGCTTGCAAAAAGCTCGTCGTTCGGTCGACGCCCTAATGGTATCCAGCGAACTTGCTCCTCCGCGAGAGCAGCTGGTGCAATATCCCCCCCCCCCCGCGTACATGCATGCACGTACGTTCGCGGTGTTATGCAACTCTGCTATTAAACTTCAAGAGTTAAGCCTCTGTCACGACAATTTCGAATTTCGAAACGTCAGACGTACACTCGGATGCTTGCTTTACACCAACCTCCAATGTAATTCTCCGTCTAGCCTTTATTTAACCCGAGTACTTCATTAACCGAACTCCTCTAATCACCTTGTTTCAACTTCGGCGGAGAGAACCGAAACGTGGATCCGAGAAATTCTTTTGATACCCGCATCGAATTGATAGATCTGGTACAAAGCGTTCGAGGCTCATTGAAAAAAGGCGGAGAACTAGTGAGTTGCAAATTGCGCGAGTTACACGAGGCTTCCATTCGCGGAAATCGATCGGTTCGAGAATGCCAGGAACAAATAATTCACCAGTGGGAACGATCCATCACTGGTGAACGTTCCAAGCCTGAACATCGAAGAAACTCTTTAACGAGATACTACATAATAAAAGTTTGTGATTCGAGCATATACAAAGGTTCCACATTCAAAATGCGATGAAACGTCCGAGACAAATATTGTATCAATCGTTACACGGAACAACGTATCGAGTTTTATAAGACTTATTACGTGAATAAAGTGAATAAAATTAAGAATAACACTTATAGACCGGGCGCTCGTAACACAAAAAATGGAACAATTTTTTACAGTCTGCCATTGATAGGGGAAATATTTACAGCCACAAGCTGTAGATAGATGTACTTAAAAATCTTCGTTACGTGTTAATGCATACTTAAACATTAACTTTAGTTAGCAAAAAGAA